CCACACACTAGCTTTTAACTTTGGATAATTCGCTGAACTTCTTTGCATGCGTTTTTTGTTTTGTTTCAATTATTACATGAGGCCAACAGCCTCCACACGATTGGTTTGAATATCAAAAAGTAGTATGTAGGCAAAATACATGACACATAAATATTAGTTCCCTTCTCCTTTTGCATTAAATTGAGCCTAACAATCATGACTTTGTATTTTATTAAAAATCTGAAACATGATACAAATGAGAGCTTTTTTTTTTGAGGTGTTTTTGGATGGGAAATATTCCAACTAACTGGTTAAGGATATCACTACATCCTACAACCTCAATATAAAAACTGACATTTACATCATCCATTTTTTTTTTCAAACTTGATTGTCATGTGCAGCCAGAGAAAAATGAGTAAAAAAATAACAATTTTTTAAAAGTGCATAGTCAAATATATCAAACCTAGTTATTTTACTTACTTCCTAGTGTCTGGGGTGGGGGTGGTATGAGATAAAGTGGGTGAATGAAACTGATGAGCCGTGAGTTTACACTGAGAAAACATAGTCTCCAAGGTGACATACACTAACAGCCTGATCCACTGCCTCTCAGTGTGTTGACTGAATCCAAAAAGGATCGGAAAAGAGGGTGGGAATAATAGGCCAGGACAAGTCTATACCCAATATTCTGTTCATTAACCAGTGTAGGCATATTTAAGGTTAAATGGTGAGACATACTGGGGGCTTATTCATCACAAACAGAAAAATACACTAGCCAGTGATCACAAATTATTTCAGTACCCTTGTTTATGATAATCTTCCTTCTGTACAATTCCATAATGGAGGAATGGGACTAAAAGGGATATTGATGGTATGTTCTGATCTTACTCATGATTTCTTGAACATCGAAAACCTGTTAGTCCCTTGGGGAAGAAATATGTTCTACACCAATTGTTGCAGACACAGATGTTAACTGTACTTCCTCCTCCATTTATGTGACTACATAATAATTAGTGTTCTAGGCTGATAATTTCTTCTCAACCTTTGAAAGATTCTGTTCAAATAGCATATATTCTAACAAGTGCAAGGAAAAGTGAACACCTAGAAAATTAATTTTCCCTTGGAACAATTTTGAATACCGTATGTGGGCCTACAACACTGTTTCAAGTGTGTTCTAATTTAATTTTCAACATTTATGTATGGGAATTATGTGTGTGATCTGTAGCTTTGTATAGTGCTATGCCAGGCATTGCTGTATACGTCTCCTCATGTGCTTTGAATGTGCAATTTCACTTCCCTTTTATTTTTTAATAATTTAAGATAATCAGTGTTAGAAATGAAAAGTTAATGAAGATGACCAGAGAGCAAAAGAACAAATACAAATTAGTTTTGACTTAACAAGAAACTCACGAGAAAATAAATGTCCTTCTATGGAAGGAGTCACTGGAACGTATCCACCAGCGTGTCTCTACCAGCATGTGTTAAAAGGGACTGCAGCCTTAGTCCTAACGCCCCTTGAGAATTACTTTGTTGTTTAATTTCCTCCTGGGGTCTGATAGCTATATTAATTTAAATATGTATTTTCAAAGAATTCAGTACATTTTCTGGAAATGTTTAAGATTGGAGACTTAGTACATAATTTATGATGCCACATTTCTTGTGATGAGTTACGGATGGATACAAAAACACTAATAATGAAAACAGCTCATTCAAGACTGAACATTGGGTGAAATTAAATTAAAAACAGCCAATACTGCCACATTTTTCTTGATTTGTTCACCTATGGTTTGGCACATATTGTTTTATCTAATATTTAAAAAATGCAAATACCTCTTCAAATTTAAAAAAGGGAATGTTAAATGAAAAATGAAATTTTATATAGCTTCCTATGGATGAGCCACATGCTTAAACAGTGCATAAATTTTACAAATCAATTCCCTAATGTTAAACATCACAAAAGCTTGGTATTCAGGTATAATTTTCTAGGAAATATGAAGAGCACTGGCCTCTACTGCAATAAAAAAAATTCCTTTTGATATCTTAAAGAGGGACATCACTTCAGTAATCAAGCACTAAATGCTTTTCATTAATCACGATCTTAAACCTCTGATGTATAGGTGTAAAAACTCACAAATCGAGCCCTAATGCACACGGTATTTCTTATTTAAAAATACTTTATCACTCAAAATGGTTTTGAACACACAGAACTATCATATGCCTCTAGATTCAAGAGTGATTCAGATTCTAGGTGTTTTCACATAATTATGAAAATGAGAAACTGCTCAATTAACCTGGGCTGCAACATAGAAAACTTCTTGCTAATGTATTATAAACCATACCTACACTTCCCAAGTGTATACCAAGTCACACACAGCTTCCAGTTTACAAGTGTTTATTTCTCATCTCCTGGTTTAGTTGTATTCACAGGAAGCAGGAAGTCTAACCAGTAGAGGGCAGACTCTTCAAGTGCTGGTATTCCTATAATATGAAGCATTTTTAGTGGCTGAGTAAAACGCCTACTGGGGTTTGCTTTTTGCTTTTGCATTTTGGGGAGGAGAGGAAAATGAGGGAGCATAGAAGGCTCGTTATAAGCACCTCCTACTTTTAGTAAGCTTTACTCAGATGGATTACTTATAACAATAATCCTCTGATCACTGGCTATGAGCTGTGAAAAGTTAGAATTAGGCCTACTTGTAAGCCTGCCAATCAGGATTGTGGTTGATTCCACTATGATGTCTCAGTGTGACAATGAGTCTGGATTGAGTTCTGATTAAAAGAAGTCCCTGGTATTACTTTCTGGATTACTAACTAAAATCTTTTAAAAATCAATGCATATAGCTCATTGCTAGGAGCCATTTAGGCTTTTAATTTGATTTACATATTAGGTAAGAATTTTGAAAATTATTTGAGGGCTTTGTTCTCTAGCACCAGGTACTAATGGCCCCCCTTAAAGAAATCATGTTCATGGATTGATCAAACATAACAGTGCTCAGAGATAATAGTCTAAAATGGAGTTTTTTTCTTTTTTTCAGACTTACTTGGTATATGGAAATGTTCTTTTTACAACAGTTAGTTGCATTTTCAAATTAAGATCATCTTAATCTTCACCCATGTTCTTATCTTTATAAAATCCACTTATAAAGTAGTATGCAGATACACATTTCTATTTTCTCCATGGATTTAAAGTAAAATGAAAAGTACAGTGGTAAATATTTTTTGACATATTTGTCTTTTGTTTTCCAGATGCTCTGTGTGCATGTGAGTATGTGAGAATGAGAATGTGTGTGTGTTTTGGGCACACATACATGCAAAAGGGAAAAATTTATTTTCCTTCATTTCCATTTTATATTTAAATATCAAATAAAAAATGAAATATGGAGAGGGCTTTCTTATGGGGTTAAACATACTACTTCTACTACTTAAACCAGAGATAAGGGATTTAGATCTCTGTAATTAAATCTGGACTCACTGGAAGACTAAAAATGATTTTAATCACCACAAGCGGAGTCATGTATGGTAATAAACCCATTGCATGGATTCTTTATATGCATAGTCTCAAAATTTAACTGCCCAGATAAATTTTAAAAAGCAAACTTATTTAACATTTGCCACTGAGGAAAATCTCATCTCCATCCTTAATGATGACTCCACATCTCAATTAAAAACCTTTCCAATATTTTGGAAAAAAAAATACTCATAAGAAAGTCATAAACACTGAGATCAGCGATGTGACTCTTGCTAAATATTAGTTTCTCTCTCTGAAAGACTACTCCTTGGTCTCATATTTTGGACATTATCATCATGATGTTCAGATTTGTTCAACGGTTCAGATTCTTTGCACTCAGTTTTGTTCATTTTCTTCTTCGCTTGTTCCAAATTCTTTTCTTTGGCCAGCAATCTATAGTTTATAGCATTGCCAATAAGCAGCCAAACGCTTGATATGAACACAATAGATCCACAGGCCAGATACATGTATTTATATTGTCCAGTTTCATCCACCAATTTGCCTAAGAGACAAAGAACATCTTTTAAGATAGCATAGTAAAATAGCCATAAAATGATAAAATATTCAAATAAAGTCTCCCACAAAGTGTGTACCTAGTTCCTATTTAACTTAATATCAAATGAGACTTTAACAAAGAAAAAAAATCTAAACTATGATTTCTATATGCACAGAAAAGGCAAGCATAGGCACATGCAACTACATTACCAGAATATTAAATTTAAAATTATTGCCTTGAATAAAAATGTACAACTAAGGCAAAGTAGGTATATACATTCACAAATACACATATGTGTGAGATACATTTTTGTATCTATATATGTAGAATTAGATATATCTATTTATTTACATATATACATTTTAATTGCTTCATTATTTCCACGCTTCACAACTTACCAATAAAGGGAAAACTACATTATTTAGGACAGACTCAAAGGCTTTTTATAAGGTTCCTGACAGGGCAAAATTTACTAAATGGTTTCTCTGTGCCCAGAACTAGCTAAACACTTTATTTCTAATAATCTCATTTAATCCTTATAATTTGACCATGGTTACCTTGTGAATGAGTGGCAGAATATGAACTCTAATCAAGGTCTGTCTGAATCCCATATTCTTAACTACTCTACAAAATGGCTTCACCAGACCTCTTGGTTAAGTGTCATGTCACTTTATGGGCTAATCACAATTTTTTACATTATCTCAATCTAGATTATAAGGGCCAAACCAATCAGGAAGTACTTATTCCATTTGATTATCAGGAACACTTAAAAACTAGCTTGCTGCTGTATGATCTGAAGGTTTACTGACTTTTGAAAATGTTTCACTCTATGCTTAGCTTTGCCTCTTGCTTCTGCAGGCATCTAATTCTTTACAATAATTATTATCAGCAAGATGTAGTGTACACAAATCTGTATTATTTAATCACATGCCTATTCCAGGTGATTCTGTTATAGATTTGTCTGTTTAGTCAGAATGTCTATCATTCTGACTAGCATCTAGTCAGTGGCTAAGTATTCAATTTAGCTACTTGTGAAATGATCTATGTGAGCAAAGTTCTCTGTTTTAATTAGGTAAATGGTGGAATAGGATTGTTTGATTCAGTATGACACATCCATAAACATAACAAAAATTGCATAATCCAATTTTCCCTTCAAACTGGAGTCAAACATTTCTAGTCAAACAGTGATTGTTACACTTCTAAATACTTAACCAGTAGGTGTATGGCCCCATCAGAGTTAATATCATTTTGGCTGCCATATCAATGTATTTGCTACATGCTTTGGGAATTTTTTAGCATCATCAAGAAACCACATATGATTTCTACAACTAAAGCTTTAGCTTTCATGAGTGCAGCAGTGAAAGTATGGGCTGAAACAAAACTAAAAATCACACTGTACCTATATTACACTGTTCTACTAACAAGATCATCAGCATCAGCAACTGTCTAAGAATAACAACAATATCCATTCATTCAGAAGTGCTCACTGGGTGCCTACTTTCTGCCAGATGCCATTCTAGCAGTGACCTAATGCTAGAGAAGAGAAGCCAGTCTAAAAGTCAAGGAGTGTCAAGGGTAGCAGGAGGCAGAAACAGGATGACAACAATGGATGTATTACAGCTGTCTACAGCCTGAGAACTTCAACGAGGTTCCCCAGACCAATTATTGCCATTGTCACTGCAGGTACAATGGTTTGAAACATTAGCATGTAAGCATTGAGGGACACTGAAACTGATGTAAATATTATTAATACAGACTCTCAGCACAGGTTGAGTTGGCCAAATTGGATTCCTTCATATCAATCCTTAGAGCCCATTCACTCTGTTGACCCGACTCAATTTGTTTTCATCCCCCTATGGTTGGTGAAATACAATTTTCTCTATTGATACTTGGAATTTTATTGCTCATGAATAGGCTTCTAAAACCCACTTGGCAAAACAAATTCTGTTTGAAAAGATAGGCCAGTTGTCCTTGTCTTATATATCAAAATCAATTGGCTGATAAATGAGACCCTCTGGGGCTTTCACTTTTAATGGAAAATTATTTTGCAGCCATGGTACATCCACGTTGACAGGGCTATCACCCTGGTGGACAGAAAACTCAACGACTGCACTCATTTCTGACCAAATGAAAAAACAAAAGGTGAGAAAGGTCAATGATGACTTAAGACTAACAAAGTAAACATAAATTTTCCCACTTTTCAAAATAATTCCTTGGCGACATGTAGGAAACAGTTTAAAAACTGACTTAAAGGCATGTAAACATTTACATTTAGCCAGGCAGTTACTGTGACCACCAGGGAGCAGGACAAGAGTTCCAGCAATCTAAGTTTAGTATTAACCAAAACAATGTTCAATGGTTACTGGAAAAGACTGGACTGCAAAAGCACTTAATACTTATGACATTAAAGTCAAAGACTAAACAAAGCCTTATCTTCAAAAATGAGCTTATGCATGTGTCCTTACCAGTCTTGTTACTGGGTAATTTAGTATAGATACTTTCATAGGCATGACTGAAAACATTTCAAATTTTAAAATCTAAAGGTAAGCTTTATAATTTACAAATATGGAATCTAAGTAGCTGATCAAAAAATGACCTTGAATTTCTCTTCATTCTTGCATTAGAAACATACACAGAACCCATTTATATATATATATATATATATATATATAAATACACAAAACATACAGATATTCACATATTCCTATTCGTGATACTATAAAACTAATCCTTCCTTAAGCATGTAACAGGTTCCTTATTAATACAGCCAATGTATTCCACTAATAAAATAGATTCTGACCTCCTGAGAACATTCTTTTATATTATTGACTCATTTTAATATAAACAGAAGTCTGTTCACCAATGATTTAAAAAAAAGAGTCACTTTATTTTTATGATTAAAAGCACCAAGTAACTGATATGGGTAAAAACCTAAAAACTATGCTGCTAATTATCTCATTTAAATTTTTAAGTTCATAGGTCCAGGCTCTGAAATAAATTTATGTCTAAAATGGACTAAATATGAGATTGTAAATTATATAATAAAACCTAATATACCCAGTCTTTCAGGATATTGGTATGTATTTTAACAGACCCCATTATGCACTACCAGGAAGATCCTGGTGAATGCCTACCAATTTTACACTTTTTGCTGTCCTTGATGGAAATTACCCTTACCAGCAAGAGGAGGGCCAAGAAGAACTGGACAACATTCCACAATGGTGACGAGTCCCACTGCACTGGAAAACCTTTGTGCACCGACAAGGTCCATGAGCGTTTCGAAGAGGACACTGCTAACACTCCCAAATCCAAGGCCAAAAAATATAGCATATATCACCAGGCTTGTGTAGTCCTCTGCCAGCGGGCACAGGAGATGACACACGCCATTGAACATGACTGCCAAACTGAAGAAGTACTGGATTCGGGGTCGGATAAATTTGGAGTTTGCGATAAATCCTACAGAAGGCCTAGCAAACATATCAACAAAAGCCATAACAGACAGCAAGAAAGCTGCTGAATATTCATCGATTCCCTTGTCTTTAGCATAAGGAGCCAAGAATATGATGGGGGCAAAAAACCCTAGAAACATAATGACATTTCCAGATAAGTATATCAGAAATCCCCTATGCTTAAAAAGGGAGAAATCTAAATATTTATTAATTTTGTCCCATAGTGACTTCTTCTTATGGCTTTTCTGCAGATCTGAATCATCTGCTCTCATGACAACCTTATTTTGAGGCTTGATAGTAGTTTGTTTGGGTCCAATGGGTCTCATGAGGGCCCCAGCCACACAGGC